GTTTGGTTTTGCAGTTACAGGCACCTCCTCTCATTTATGTCTTTCTGCCATCACTTTGCATTTTCAGGCATGACCTAAAAACAAACAAGCCTAACAGCAAAATTTGTGCATGAGCAGCTTTTGCATCTTAAAGTTTTCCTCAGTATTTTGAACACATTTTTGTCATTTTATTTTACTGAGGCGGAGCAGTTTCCCATTTCCATGGTATTAGCACAGAAAGAGCAAATTTATCATGCCAAAGACATGCTACTAAAATTAGCTCTACACATAAAAATACATTTATTTGCTCCCTTTTTTCTTTAATAATCTGGATGTGTAAGGCATGAGAAGTGTAAAGGATCTATTGCTCAGGTGAAACTCACTTTGCACTGTTGCATTTAAAAAGAATGGGTTGTCAGGCTGTGTGTGTTTAAAAAAAGATCCCATCCCAACTGATTTACAGGCTCTGGGTCTGTGTTGTAATGAAAGGTGGCCCTGCTCTGTCATCCTTGTGTAGCAAGTGACGCAAATATTGCTTTTTCTAATTAGACGTCTTAAACATCTTTGATAAGGGAAAACGACATGCAGGTGACTGGCGTAATTTTTTAAAGCTCAACAGTTACACACAGCTCTCACAGCCATGTTACTGTTATTAAGACCGATGTGTTAATAAAAGCTTCAGTGTAATGAACAAAATTAGAGCCATAACTATCTCTGAAGGCTACATAGCAACGTGGTAGAAATTTGGCTGCAGAATTCAACCCTCAGTATGTTGTAGTGCTTGGAGTAAATGTTTCCAGCCTCAAAAAGTCTGGTGAGTCCAAGAGAAACAGACTGTGCCAAATTAAAATGCAATTAAAATGCAAGTAAACAGGATTTCTAAAGGATACATGCTGCTGAGTTTTATATAACTCTTTTACTAATGATCATACCTACAAGCAATTAAAAGAAAAGGTAAATCAGGAAATGATCTGGGGTGGAATCAAACCCGAGTTACCTGCCCTGCCAAGTGCCCTGCCATTAACTTATTTTGACCTTTAATGACCATTAATGTCTATTAATGTAATAATCCATCCACCTTCTTCCTGTTCACCTGGAGCATGGGATAAACTATCACTTGTTATACAGTATCAAGTATAAACATGTCTCCCTGGACTGCTGAATCACAAGATGTAACGCTAAGGGAAATCATGTTATTTGCCAGTAACTACTGTCCGACTGTGAAATCGAATAATCGTGTGATTTCACACAACATAGCCATGACAGGCCATGGTTATTACAGCCACACACATCTCCAAATACCAGCACTCACACTTACATGCAAACTCATAAACAGTCTCCCACTAGAGAAAGTGAAACCAGGTCATGCAGTATTTGTTTATTCTCTTTAAAGAATTACACCTGCAGCACTGATGTAAGCGATACTCAGATGCGAACAGGCCCAAATGTAATAAAACCTTGAGAGGTACTGTGTCTTGCTGATTTGCTTGAAGGCTGCTTGTTTTATTCGGGGCTGACATGTTTACTTCCTCCACAGCTGTCTTGTTGTGTTAGAGGGGTTTTGTGTGTCCTTGCAGTGCCCCTGCAGCACACTATGAGCAATACGGAAGCACTAATTAATCAGCTTAAAAATGTGCAGAGTGTCCACTGGAAAGTGGGGCACCTTCTGGCAGAGGTGAGCATCTGGGGGCAGAGCCCACACCCATGGGCTTCGACTTGGACAGACTAAGTTCCCTGTCCCAGAGAACTGGCTCTGGAACAGTCCAAAGACCAGAGAGTCACCTCCAAGCACACCCAAGGTACAGGAAGGAAGTCTGTCTGTTGGGAAGGAAATGGCAATTGAGGCTGTTTAGGGTGTTTGAGAATTTAGTGAGGGGTATAGGAGACGGTGTGATTCGGGGACTTCACAGTTATAAAGTTGCACAATAGAAGGGAGTGGCTTGTTTCATAGCTCCTGTGATCTGTGCTACATTTAAGCTGTTGACATTAATTACACTCCTATATGGTTTAAAGAAGAATAATTATTATTTTATTTTATTTAATAATAATTTATAATAATTTGAAGTATTCACCCAGCAAAATAGTTGTGAAAAGCGTAAAATGTACTACCTTGCAGCTTGTGTGTTGTAATTGCTGTCTGAACTATAGGCAGGAATTACTGTTCTCTGTAAATGTCAAGCATTCAGGGAAAGTTTGTGTATTTTGGTCAGCAATTATTTTCCTTCACGTATAAGCTTTGCTGAGTTTTACAGTTCAGAGGTTCTTCATCTGCTTTGAAAGGGTAAAAAATTTCTATGCTCACTTCTAAACTCTGTTTAAAATAAGTACAATTTCTAATGTCAAAGGTATTAGTGTTCCAACAGTCAACATACACAAATATGAGCTGGGTCTTTCAGTAATAAATATGACTTTTTTTATTTTGGCCAAACCTTTAGAAAAAGAAAATCACTTCTGGATTCTTGAATAAGGATTTCTAACCAGGAATTTAAACGTTTTATTTAAAAAAAAAAAAAAAAAGAATGTTATTATTGTTAAAGGTTAAACCTTTCAGTTATCTATTGAAGCAAACTATGGTGAAGTGCTTTCATTTCTGTAAGTCAGCTGGTAAGGTCGTGATTTAAAAGAGACAATAATTGAGCCATGTAAAGAGGCACTGCAGTCGTTTGAATCACATTTGTCTAATAGACAGATGGAGTCTTCACCACACACAGAGGTTAATTAGATATGGAGTTCTGCAGGGTTCCTTGGTAGGACCAGTTCTGTTTACACGACATGCTTCCATTACGTTTTTGTTATTAGAAGGTATAGCATGCATTTTCATTGCTATGTAGATGATACCCAGGTCTATCTGTCAGTGAAGCCAGAAGACAAACACCAGTTACTTAAACTGGAATATTTTGAAAACATAAACATAAAGACCTGTTTCTAAATTTAGATAAAACTGAGGTAATTGTAGTCTACCCTAAAAATCTTAGAAATATGGTATCTAACCAGATGCTTAGTCTTACACAGTGTTACTGGACGGCATTTCCCCTGGCCTCTAATAACAATGTGAAGAATCTTAGAGTAATATTTTACCAGTATATGTCCTTCAAAGCATAATGCATATTAAATTAGGGCTGATTTCTTCTGTTTGTCCAGTATCTCTAAAATGAGAAGCATCCTGACTCAGAGTGATGCTGAAAAACTAGCTCATGCATTCTAGGATGGACTTTTGTAATTTATTCTTGTCAGGTTGCCTTAAAAGCTCCCTGAAAATTCTTCAGTTGATCCAGTGAGAGTAGTGACAGGGAGAGAGAAGGTATTAGCTATATTGTCTTTGCTTCATTGGGTCCCTGTAAAATCCAGAATCAAGTTTAAAAGACTTATTCTCACATACAAGGACTTGAATAATCAGGCCCCATCTTATTTTAAACACCTCACATACTCTATTATCCCAGTAGAGCACTGCAGGTTTACTTTTGGTTCCTAGAGTATTTAAAAGTAGAATGGGAGGGAGAGCCTTCAGCTTTCAGGGCCCTCTTCTGCGGAACAAGGTCCCAGTTTGAATTCTGGAGACAGGCACCCTCTCGACTTTTACGATTAGACTTAAAACTTTTCTTTTTGACAAAGCATATAGTTAGGGCTGGATTAGGTGACCCTGAATCCTCCCTTAGTTACACTGCAATAGACTTAGGGTGCTGGGGGTATTCCCATGATACACTGAGTGTTTCTTCTTTACTCACCTTTTTTCCACTCACTATGTTTTTATACACCTCTCTGCATTTAATCAGTAGTTATGATTCATTTCTTTCTCTGTACCACAGCACGCTTTTGTCTTGTCTTCATTCCCCTCACCCACAGTTGGTCATGGCAGACAGCTGCCCTTACCTGAGTCTGGTTCTGCTGGAGGTTTCTTACTCATAAAATTGAGTTTTTCCTTCCCACTGTCGCCAAGTGTTTCTCATCGGGGGTCATGTGGTTGTTGGTGTTTTCTCTCTATTATTGTAGGGTCTTTACCTTAGAATCCAAAGTGCATTGAGGCTACTGTTGTTGTAATTTGGTTTTATATTAATAAAACTTTCTTTTACTTCTGTTTTTCTCAGTCTATAGACATGGTAGTGTATTCACAGTATTTATTAGGTTATTACGACATGTTTAGTAAGACTCTTGACATCTAAAACATTGTGCGTCAACTGCTTTCAGTAGTTGTGTTTTGATTGTGGTACCTGTACTGATTTTACTAAATCTTGCCTCTATGCAATAATACTTAAAATGACTAAACACTGAAACTAATGAAAATTAAAATAAAAAAAACAAACCCTAAAACACACAAACTAATTAGAAAACACAAAACTATAATGACTCTCATTCAAACCATCAATTCTTCCTCGGAAGTGATGATGCTAACCATCACACGAATCACTACTGCATATATACTGCATATTACATGTTTTATTATGAAAATCATACCTTTGTTGTCCACCTATTCTAACACTGGAGTTTGTTCATCTTTACCAGTGGTGAGACCATAACCCAGTACAGCAGCTCAGGTCAGTCCATTTCCTAAAATCAGGAAATGGATACAAACAAGGTATTTCCACACTTGAAACTCAGAGAAAATAAGCACCTACCTTCTTTAACATTTAATTCTAACATGTGGAAAATTTGAACCAGAACATTTTCTGCACTTTTCTATTGTAACTCTGAAAGAAAGCGGAGAGTCCCACACAAAAGGCTACATGTTGAGTAGGCTTCCTTATCCTGTATGTGCCATCGTCAGTGATTTAATAATAGCTTTAATAATGTGATTTTTTTAATCTTCTCAAAATCAAGGCCTAAAAGCTTGGAACATTGAGTCTTCTTGATTGCTTTTGTCACTGTTCATTTCAGACATGCTAAATGTATCTTGTGCAAAACTGAATCCCAGTTTCTTAAATAAATTATCTTTTAATGCTGCATATAAATGTGCCTTTGCATGCTGTCGCTGTAATGGAGAGACGGGTTATGTTTGTGTGAGAGCGTGATAACAGGACACGTTCATTATGCACTTGTTTTATTTACAACACACAGCATGTTCGTTATCCATGAAATGGATGGATTAAAAACAGAACTGCCTGAAGGAAACAGTATACAGTCTGGCTTATATATATATATATATATACATATTATGCCAAATGTTTACTTCTTATACACTGTGCCTTGGAGTATATATGGCATGTACTGCATCTGGCTATCACATCTAGACTGCAGTGACTGCAGAATGCTCCTCGTCTCTTGCCTCTCTGGTGTAATGACTGCTGTCTAATCAGCCTCATCCACTTCCTTTAATGACACTCTAAATTAGCCCTAATGCTTAGCAGCATGTGTCAAGGCAGACCTTAAAAAAAGCACTCAGGAGTCTGGGGACAACCAAGGACATGTTGACGCGCTGTGACCTTCTGCTTTTCACATATCTAAAAAAAAGTCCAGCGGTTCGTTCACTTGATGCATGACAAAGTTCACTGAAGAGTTTTTAACCTTTAAACATTTGGTCTCCCTCTCAAAGACGGAAAACCATATGCCACATGAAATGGTTTGTTGCTTAGGCAGTAACAGAAGGACAAGGATTACTTAGTAGCTGTGAGACTAGAAAAAATATTGCATTTCACTCCCATTTTATTGACAATTTCTTGCCCTCAGTACAATGCAATGCGAGAGTTGAGGTTCTGAGCACACAGGAATAAATACGGCAATAAATACAGTACTGACCTGCCTCACTTCACACGCTCTGGCGCCACCAGATCCTCACCACAAACACACAAACTGATAAGACATCATACACGACACTGAGCCAAAGGCTTTTGCTTCAACCTGATCATGGATCGACAGGGACTGATGTGCACAGCGATTTAGCACTGCTTCGGGAAAGCAAAGCTGCTCCTGTCTTTACATTTTCTTTCATTACTGTTGACTGTTGCATGAAAACTAGAACAGCAAGGACAGAGAAGGAAGCTAGCCATTTTTACATGGATCATATAGCATGACTGCCAATGCTTTGAGCAGAAAAAATCCAAGTCTGACCAACCACTTCATCTAAATACCGAGGGAAAGACTGGTACGAGGATGACCCACGGGCAACGGCTATGAAAGAATGACATCTTAGTTTAAACACGGCATGCATTGCCCTTATTTAAGATTTAATTTGTATCTGTTACAAATTATGTATAATAAAGGTTTTAACCCATCAATCACAGCTCCATACATGTACCTTTCAGTAGATCATTCAAAGATAAGAACATTTTAAATCTAAAATTCCCTATCTGATATGTTATAAAATGGCATTGCCTCAATATCAGCGGAGGGTTATGTAAGATATCCTGTACAGTTGGTGCCGAGGACCATTTCAAGTAAAAGAGTAGCAAAAAGAACTGAAATCACATCATGAATGGAGATGGATCATCTGGCATACTCTGAGAAATGCTACGCCGCACAACCCCGTCGTTACATATATGGCAGACCGACATATTAATTAGGATCCAGGCTGTATTGCATTTATAACACATTATATGGTGACAGAAAAGCTTTTGCTCAGTTTGGCTCCATCTCACCTCGGAGAGAGCCTGTCTTTTTATGTTGTTTTGTTTTCCTAAATTCATAAGATTTATATATGTACTATGCATATATTAAATGACACATATTATACTGTATATGAGAAATATTTTAGATTAAATTTAGCTGTTTTTGTTTTTCAAATAATCCTGTTAATTCCATTTTTTATTAGTTCTATAAACTGGGATTAGTAAATTGTTAATGTAACATAGTGTTTGTATAGTGGTTAGTCAAGAGTTAGATTGCATAAAACAGCCTGAGTTTTAAAAACACAGACAAACCTGGTTAAGAGTTTTTTCAAATATCAAAATAAGTTAGTGTCTTTATTTCTGCTTTTTAATTCCTCTGCATGTTTAGACATATTTTCTTGATTACAGCAGTGCTGTGCATCAAAACCTTGTTGCACAAAGTAGTGAGACGATGGAGCAATCTGGGCAACAGCACTGGCCACTGATACGTGTTGTGCTTGTGGTAAGTAGAGATTGTTTGCTTCTATTAAGAAATATGTTGTCTTCAAAAAAACAGGTGGATCAAGTTATTTTGTTCGATATGAAATATTATGTAAACTTACAAACCTTGTACCAAAAAAACATGGATTTGTAAAGCTTTTTAAAATATATGGATTAACGCTGTTTGGAGTACTGTTGTCCAAACCGGGCAGGTAAAAAGGATGCAGGTTGTTGGTTGTTCAATATAATAGTTCAATAATAGTACAGTACATCTATAATGTGGGTATCCACCCCTCTTTTCCCTCAAACATACACTGTAAAAAAAATAGTAGAAATGCAGTACAATGTACGGTTTTAAAATGAATTAATTTTCCATATTTATATTTTACTCATGGTTTGTTTTTTTAATGACCTTTCGATTTTACCACTTACCGTTCATGGAAACTTCTGTAAAACCAAAAACAACAACAACAACGAAAACAGGTAATGCACAATGTAAATTACCCGCACATTTGTGCCTTTTTGTTTGTTTGTTTGTTTTTTACAGTGTACAACAAACGCCCTCCTCTCTCATACCCTCAGGTGATGGAGTAAATGAAAGCTGATAGCCTACTTTCCACCAGGCACAGCTTAGCACACTTCAAGAACAATAAACCTCCTCAAATACTGCTTTAACGTCTGGGCAGTAAGGAATTCACTCAGCATCTTCAACTCTCTGGACCAGAGAAAAGGAGAAAGAGAGCAAAGGGAACTTTAAGCAATGTGTGGTTAAGGCAGTCTCATGAATATTGCAGAGAGGTTTTTTTGGCCCCTGTTTTGGAGATAGACTCCACAACAGTCTTGAATTCCTACCTCTAACGGCTGCGTCTTATCCCAACAGATTAGCGAGCAGACGGGTGGATATGAATAGACATGGCAAAAGAAAATCAGAGTATGGTCCACGAAGTTTGATCCACGCAGGGGAAAAAAAAAATCCCATCAAAAACAACACATCAAGCAGTAATCCTCTTTGGAAGAAAAAGGTCATATTTGGTTCGTGTGTGAATCCGCAGCACAATGAATAATCTTTTACAGGGGACCCTAAATTAAGGAAAGCACAGCTCAGGGCAATTTAATTAAGAAATGAAAGCAAAGTAGAAGCCTATATCTAATTTGTCCACTGAAGTTAGTGCTTGGGGCTTTTTAAGTGGCGTGCAGAGATGGGGATAGACAAAGGTCCCACTTACACAAGCTTAACTCTGTCTCACTTAATTGAGTTCATTCCAAGATACAGAAAAAGTCAAAGCTGATACATACATATTAGTTAGACATAGGTGTGGCTCCAGCACCGTCCTCGTTTGAGTTCTGCTGATCGTTTCACTTCTTTGCAGTTTGCATGTCACGAGTTCGAGCAGTTCTGAAATCTGCCTACATGGCAAACCTCATCTGCTGTACCCTTTACAGCGCTCCCAATTACTGTACTTAGGGCTTGGAGCAATAACTAGACCTTTATCAGAGCTTTACAACCCTTTCTATACAGTGCAGCGACAATCCCTCAGACCCACTCCTGCATGGAGCGTTTGCAGTACAGTATGTGGCGCTGCGTGCTCTTCCTCCTGAACTGGAAAACAGTGTAGAGGAGGACCATCATGCACAGCGCCAGAACGCAGGGGATAGCAATGGCCACCGCTTTCTCCGTACCTCCAGCGCTGTCTAGTTTGATAACAACGTCTGCATCACCGTTGTCATAGTGGCGCTCCTCTACCACCGTGGGGCTCCAGTCCCAATCGGGGTCGGCGGGTAGGCTGTCGCAGCCCATGAAGTCCCTCAGAATGGACCTCGGGTAGTTAGGCTCCACGCGAAGCAGCTGGTTGTTGAATTTCCAGTACTCCTTTCCTTTGTAAAAGTAGGTGAAACCTGGGGATTTAGGGATATAGGCAGTCTTTTAAAGACTTTTTGGGGATATTTTGAATTTGTTAAACAGTGTAGAGACAGCTGGAAAACAAAGTAATGGATTGCAAGATGCACCAAAGGTCTCCAGCTGGAATCAACATGTCTTATTCAGCTGCCCCTGCCGCCCACTCAAAACACATTACTTACTCTAAATGTATTTCACAGCTGGTTGCACTACTTTATAGTACTACATACTAGTCAAAAACAAACTGGATATTGCCACATAAACTTATCAACTTCCTGTTTTTGTGTTTGTTTTTATTACCTTTTACAGGCATCTGGTATCACATTGTTATTTCTTACAGATTTTACAGTCAGTAATGCAAACATACCGTTGGCCTTGTCCACAAAAGCCCCTTGTGGAGAGTCAGGGATGCCCTTCCAGATGGTGATGGGTTTTGGGTAACCCGGGTCCATGGTTCTCATATCCTCGTTGTACCTCCAGTATCTACAACAGGACAGGCAAATATATCAAAAAAGAGTCAATACAGAGGTTCAGGGACACCTGTTAGTTAGTGCAGTAGTCATAATAAGTATTAAAAAATGTTAGCACACTTGTGTTACCATCACTTAGTCACTTAAAATGGAAACAATAGATGTATTTGTCATTTTAACAACCCTGTAGCCTTGAACATCACAGGCATTAATATCATACAAGGAGTTAGGACTACTTTCCTCAAAACACACTTAAATATTTTTTTTAAAAATTGTCGCTAAGTTTTTCTTTTACTCGACAGCTCCCTTAATCGGGACTTCACAAAGGCGTTGGGTGGCAGTGATTTGTAAAGAACTGCTGGCCAGGACCTCAATAATGACATTGACGTTTTAGCTAATTGGAGATATTAATACTGATGGCGACAGATGTTTTGAAACACTCATGAGCAGGGATCATGCACATACAAGCAGCCATCAGTGGATCAGTGGATAAGACATAATAATCAGACGCAGCATTAAAAGGAGAAGTTGGGATAACAGTGGGTTGCAAAAGCAGCTGACAGACAGGATTATGCTGAGCTTGACATCATGGCCTGCCTGAATTTATGCTACAGCTCTGTTTATTTGTGTAAGATATAAATTATGCAATATAGAACAAAACCACTTGGGAGACAAAGTCTATGTTTAGCTTGAGATAATCAGGACTCACCAACATGTCTGCAACACTGAAAATAGGTCTACTGCTCAGTAGGTCAACCAGTTCAACACAGAACAGGCCTTCATTTCAAGTTGATCTGCTTAAAAGTCGCACTAAGCCCAGAAAGCAATAACTGTAGTTCAGCATTTACCTTCAGGAAAACAAAGACATCATAGCCTGGGATGACGAGAGCACTGCACTGGATTTCTGCTTACTGTCACAAACTCATATCTATAACTTGCAATCAAATGTCGTTTTTTTCCATGTGACTATTTAACGATCAGCAACACACTTCAAGTATTTCACATGACCACAGAAAGTGGTAAATCAATCATCCATGCTCTGTGTGTATCTGCCACATAGATCTGTTTCACTAGTAGCTGTGATTGATGTGCTTCTCATACACTCGTGCTCACGCACATAAATCTCGCTGCAAACTGTCATTTCTTTGAATTAGAACAAACACCTCCCTGTCATACACGCGGGGAGAGAGAGAGATAAAATCACGCTCAAGACAAAATGTCTTGTTTGTCAAAATGTGGCAACTTGTGGTTTGGGATGATAGTATCATGACAAAGCATTTTGTCAGCTCCCATCACAGCGTCCTATGACCTCTTAGGATATGATTTAACTTGACAGCTTAACATGTGAGTCACTCTGGCATAAACTCAAACTTTAGGACTTGCAACACACTCAGATAAACACCAGATTCTCATATTTGGTGTCTTGGAATGAATCCTTGGATTCAATTCAGTTCAAACTGCAGGTACCCAATTATACTCTGCATGAATCCATGCACAGGATAACATACAGTCCAGATGCAAAGCTTTTAAGATCAAAGAAGGTAGTAATCTCCATCGTTCCCAAATCAAAGAAATCTCAAATCCCCAGCGGTTCCTTGATCTGGCCAAACAGATCAAACTCAGTAATCTGCTAACTAAGAACCAAGTGGTTACTTTGAATCAAACCATTCCTCATGAGGGCCACCAGGCATTTGCCAAAAGGTACCTTAACAACTCCAGAGAAGCAACATTTTACAGACTGAAGACTGAAGTATATCACCATGATTCTAGGCTGGAAACCGCCCACTGAGCACCACCTCCACAAACCCATCTGCACAGTCAAACAGCGGTGGCAACCTGATGCTGTCAGGAGGCTTTTCAGCAACAGGGACTGGACACCTTTTCCAAAGTGGTCCAGCTTAGGCAAAAGCTCACGTCTTGAATTCTGGACCCAAAACAGCATTTCTGGAGAGACTAGAAAAATGGGAGCTCACTGACAATCCTGATCGAGCTTAAACTGTTCTGCCAAGATGGATGAGAGATAATGTTTTTAAAAGAGAAGATGTGCCAAGCTTGACGGACACTTGTAGGAGACTTCAGGCCATCAATGCTGCAAAAGGTGTCCAAACCAAGCATAGCCAAAAACCTTCCCCTTATATCGCAGTGGAGGAAGAGGAAAGCACAAAAGATGCTTTCTTTTGTCTTTAGGATCTGCTGCGTAACATAAAGGTTAAAACATTTAAATTGAATTCAACTTTATTTGTATAGTTGTGAATCACAACAACAGTCTTTATATTGTAAGGTAAAGACAATAATAGAAAAAGAAAACTCTAACAAACAGACGACCCCCTATGAGCAGGGACTTGGCAACAGCGGGAAGGAAAAACTCCCTTTAACAGGAATAAACCTCCAGCAGAACCAGGCTCAGGGAGGGACAGCCATCTGCTGTGAACGGCTTGGGGTGAGGGAAGGGAGACAGGACAAAAGGCACACTGTGGATGTGATGTAATCAATATATGAGTGTATAATAGATATATAATCTAATAATCATATGCTATCTATAATAGAATATGTTAAAAAACATTCTATCCTTCAAATGTCCCCATGGTGCATGGTGTTTTTACTCTGAGCAGTTTCAGTTCTGTCCAAATCTTTACACGACTAATAATCTACACAGACCTGTCTCCTTTGAAGAAGTAGGTTTTGGCGACATCCTCCCACCAGACAGCTGTCTCAATACTCTGTGTGGGCATGCTACTCCCGAACAGCGAGATGTCCTGAGGGTACGAAGGCTGGAGAGTTGTGTCCTTGAAGACCCAGAAACGGTTTCCTAAAATACACGGGCAAAGTTAGATTGCACTGGGACAAAGCAAATAACTAAATATGAGTTCAAAAAAAGCACCACGGGCTTTCAGCTCATTCAACTCTTTTGTGTTGTTGCTTTTCTTTCTTTTCATTGAGGCTTTTTTCCCCTGCTCATGTAATTTCACGAGTCAGAAGATGTCACCTTGTTTTAAGAATATGTGTTCAGCAGGAAAATCTATGCAGTGTTATCTACAGTACAATACAATAAACAGCAAGCTGATGCTCTGAAGACAACTCTACTGAGACTTGTTGTGTTGAGCTTTATTGAAGCTATTGTTGCATTTAATTCAGTTTGATCATAAATGCCTCAGGCAGAGCAAAGAAGGGCTGCTGTGCAGTAAGTAGCTCGACGCTCACATGCACAAACCCACCAATACACACACACACAGTTAAGTCCCTATGAGTGAATAAATAAAGCATGAGGCACTCTGATCCCACAGAGTGACAGATGTCATGTTAATCTGCCTGGTGGACGGACGGCTCCACTGGACCTGCACTCGTTCTCCTACCAGACAGAAAGAAAAACAACCTCACTGTCGCCTGTTACAGTAAAAAAAAAGAAAGATATGTACTGTAAAGCTTGCCCTGCTCCCCAGATTTTCACATTCCTTTGTATTTTGTGCCTTAATGCTTTGTTTCAGTTCCTGTTTGCTCCCATTAGTATTCTGCTTATGCTTTATTTTCTGCAATCTCTCGTTCTGTCCTTTGTGTCCTTCTGTGTCAAGCTTAAGTCTTGTTGCGGTTTCTTGAGTAACTTCCTGTTTTATTTTGATAGTCTGTTGTCACTCATGTAGTGCTATTAGTTTTACCATGTTAACCCTCAGTGTGGTCCTAGTATAAATAGCTGTGTGTTTTAATTTGTGCTCTGTTGTGTTGCCTGTCACCTGCATGTCTGTTTCTCTATGCGTTTAGTTGTGGTTTGGACTCACTGGCCTTCATCTTGGATTAATCTTTGGACTAATAAACGTTTTCTCTGCGCTTTGAATATCAGGTCTTTACACACACATATACATACCAACACAACACAACATGCCCTTTCCAGTGTTCTTGAAGTGATGGTATGCAATAAAATATTATTTTAATTAACCAGAATATGGAATTTCTGCAGAAATTGTGGTGGGATTGCTTATCCTGCCTAATTTGATCTGTGGCTCGCTGCTAATAAAAAATTGGATGTAAACAGCTTGGCTACAAACACAGAAGGAAGATAGATGTTAACATTTAAAAGCCTAAAAACTTGAAAAAAATAGTTGGGTTGTATTTTTAAAATGTGGAAAGAGGTAGGCTGTTAGAGACTATTAGCATATTTGGACTTTTGTGCATGTGTGTGTGAGAAAGAGGCAAACAGGAGCAGCTTTACTAGTGTCTCTGAATTTCTCATTCTGTATGGGAGCACACCCATGGATTAACTCTCACCCAGGTGTGCTCTGGGATGCCTAAGAACTCATAAATGACTAAAAAATACTGGCGTGTTTGTTTATCCCATGTTATATTCCCATAGTCAAAATCGCAGACATTATTAGATACACATATGTAGCCGGTGTGTACCCAGGATACTTAATAAAAGCACATTTTGTCCATTTTTTTATTGGTAGGAACATTTCTTTAGTTTAACTTTTAGTGGCAAACTGTTCGCTACATATATTGTAGTTAAGGATAAAGAAGATTTGTTGTATAAATTTGTGTTTTTTACACTAAAATGTTTTTTTAGTAAAGCCTGGCAAATATGAATGCATTTCCTTGCCCCAAAAGCATATGTAATTTTAAACGTAGCATTGTTTTTACATTTATTGTCATATTGGAGCAATAGCTTCAATTTTGGCATGTGTGGATCAACCAATCAATCACACCTCTGGTGCCTCCAATAAACAGGAAATGGCACACGCGCACAAAAGCTGTCACTTCGTCTAATTTGCTTTCCTCTAAATAGGCTCAGTTCACGCTAAACTGTGGTAATTCTGGTAATTCTGGCCCTTTTGATTGCAAAGTATAATATGATTAGGTCCGCCACTGAAGCTATAATAAACAGCCATCGGTAGCGATGAGTGCAAAGGCTGATACTGATTTTCTTACATTTTCTTAATTCTTCTTTTTATTGAAATTAATGACCTAATCATCTCAGAGAATATTTGATGTCTCGTTCTAAAATGGTAAAATTGCGAGAAATTTATTAGAGGTTGTTTGTGCAGTATCACACATTGCCCCCCTGCTCTTTATGGCTTAGTTTTTTCTTTACCTACCTTGACTAAAATACACCGTCATATTTACATTCATGTTTAGAAACCTACATTATTCTTTGGTCCTGCAGTCATTAGACTGTTTGGTGCCCTAATGCCATGAACAGATCATTTAGGACCAGTTAACGTAAAGGGGGTGTTAACTACCAGTAGCTGAACTACAGTCACACCCACACACACACACAAAAAATAAAGAGCGGTTGCTGTTATTACCTTTGAAAAAAACAAATTTCCCTTCGCTGTTTTCATACACGGCATCAATTTTGGGAGGTAAGCCATTCCAGAAGTAGCTTATCTGCATGGGGTAGCCAGGAACTACTGAATTGTCTCGTACCCTCCAGAACCACTGGTCCTGTAAAAACGGACAAGGTCAAATCATCACTGCTCTTTATCGCCACCGATGAAATCCCAGAATGCTCTGATGTGATGACCGATTTTACCTTGAACACAAAGAGCTCATTTCGGAGAATGGCCAGAGTGTTGAAGCCTCCATCACAGATGTTAGGTTTGGAGTTTGGGCTGGAGGGTTTGGCACTCAGTGGAGGCCGATGGGGTCTGGCATGGCGATCGTGTTTACGTGGGTCGGAAGGAGGGTGAAAGCGAGGAGGTGGGACTGTGGGTGGAGGCCGGGTGGGCTGTGGGGCTCTATCCGGTGGACCTAAAAAACCCAAAATAGAACGTATTTTATCTGCATTCCTTTATATTCGTCTTTTTCAAAACTTTCATCAAGATTTAAGTCGGTGTCCAGTGAGTTTACAGCTTTTTGGCCATTGCGCCTTTTATTTTGGCACGGAAACTGTATCCTTTTTTTGGCTGAGCATTAGTGGACTCACGTTGTTTTGAAAGCATAGATTGGCTGCCCTCTTTAACAGCTGACAAATGCTGCTTACTGGCATCGAACCCAATATGACTGACGCAGCAGCATTTGAATAAGCAAGTGACTAAGCTTCAGCGCTTGTCTATTTATGTTGTTTTGCTATACAGCTTCAGTGAAGTGTTGGAACAAAACAAGACGTAAGAGTCTTGATTACGTGCTCTTTCAGACTTTCAGCTCGTGCTCTGAAGAGAAATTCACTTGGGAAAGTTACCGTAGATTTTCTGGATGCCCTGTAGGTCATCGTGAGGTAGTTTGAAGTCCTCAGTGTCCATGTACTGATAGAAAGGAGCCATGATAGCAGTGGGGTCATTGGAATGCTCCAGACCGAGGGCGTGGCCCAGCTCATGAACCGCAACCAAGAATAGGTCGTTACCTGGAGAGAGGAAGAGGATGGCATGAGTTAGAATCCAAAAGTTCAAAAACATAAAAAATAAAGAGAGATTACACATTATGATAAAACAGAACAGGCAAATATTAACAGTATTAACACTCATGATGGTATGATGACCCTGATTCTTGACCTTTTCAATTAAAATCTGTTTGCTCTTGAGTCCAGGTGAACCTGTAAACACAGGTCTCCATCCACAGCTATCACCAGTGCAAAAGCTTAACAAGTGAAAAGTACAGAGACACCCTGCAAACTAGATTCACAAAAAAGAAAAAAATACTGTGTGAAAAAAAGTTTTTATGATTACCTAGCATCAATATGTAACCTGCTCTGTGCAGACAAATCCAATAATTGTTTAACCATTTATCGAGCCCAAAATGCCAAACAAGTACTACTCACAGGATTTTAAATGTGAAAATTTGATTCTTTTTATTGTTTTGTTATTTAAAATCCTGCTTCTTTTGGATTACTGTTGATTAAAAATCACAAAGTATTTTCAAGGCTTTGCATTCTCCAGGTGCAGCTTTCACAGTTTTTCTTTTCTTTTCTTTCTTTCTTTTTTTTTTTTTTTTTTACAGACTAACCATTCAGTGCATAATAGTTAATTTATCAGCAGCGAAAATCATAATTACTCACTGCCATCTGCTCCAGTTGTACCTCCACTGAGCTAATGTGGTGCAAAAAGTTACAAGGAAAGCGAACTGGAGGTAAAATATGAAACAGGTGCACTTTTTCTCTTTTAGTACTTAAAGGAAGATAAGCCACATGAGAGCATCAGCGAGCGGGGAGGGACACACTCAGATTGCTGCCCAGGGCATCGGGCAAGAAGCGCTCATTTATTGCACCTGAACCCATATGAATGTTGGCGCAAACAAACATTGTGAGTCTACGTCCCATTGCATGCAAGCGCGCGCGCACACACGCACACAAATGAAAAAATAAAAATGTCACAGTTGGTACATATGGCCAGCGTTCAGCTCATAGTGTCAACCTGATTTAGAGAGAAGTACACCATTTAAGTACAGCTTGTGACTGAAGCTGTCCCCAGGAGATTGTTGCCCTTTACAACATGATATCCCCCTCTGCCAGGAGCGCTGCACAGACCAGCGACTGACCGTCAGCCAGCAGCTAAAAGGTTACCCACCCCCACCACCATTTATCTAACACTACCAGCCTCTTCCACCTAACCCAAATTGTCCCATAAGGACTCCCAGGAGACAAGCCCGAGCTACCATTAGCGCACATGTCAACATGCAACATTTACAATTACACCGCTGTGAAAGCCCATTAAAGGCTGCAAAGCTTTCCAGACACATAAGCTGAGACGGGTGCTTTTCAAAATCAGCCCCAGCACTCCAAATGGATAACCATGGGATGCTGCACAAGGGTGAACGTGAATTCAACTCAGGAGCCTGAGACAGTTACCATTAGGGCATGAGAAGAAAGGGAGAGGAGCTGATGGGTGGCAAACAGGTTACCAGAACAAACACAAAGTGAACTGTAACCCCTCCCCTGCCTCCCCTCAACCCCAATAAACCGGATGGGATGGGAGAATGCAAGCACTTAGCATATGGATATTAGCAAAGTAGCCTAATATCATTAATATTAAATTATATAATGGTACAAATACCAGTGGGCTACATCAAATTCAATAAAACTGAATAAGCCAGCAACCACTATCTTAAAATAGTAGGGCCTTCTATCCTCTCGTGTGAAGAGCTTATTACACCACAAAAAAACATCAAAATCCTGACAGATGGAGTGATGCGTCTTTACAGAGCACGGGCGGATCAAAGACATCTCTGCATTCTTAGTTTTTTGGTTAAGCATCCCTCACACTCATGCCCTGTGATACCATCTCTGTCATATTGCCCTCCTGCCGAGCCATCTTTATTTAGATGGTTTTCCTTCAGTCAGTCCTCATTTACCTCTTTTTTTTTTTTTATTTCTCTGTGCTTTCCTCACATCTTCCATGCAGTTTTTGTTTATATACCTTCCTGCCAACATTCAGCATTTAAAACCCTTCTTTTTTTAATTATCTTAAAATCCCCCCTGCCCACCTCCCTCCCCATCCTTGCTGTAGCTTCTCCTTTCTTGTGCTTTGCTTGCTCCATTGTTGCCGGTCTTAGTCACCTTGTCTCATCCCTCACGCCAGCTTTCCCTTTCACTCACCATCATGGTTGGGGTTCCCAAGCGTCCAAGGCTCATCGGAGTCAAAGTGTGTATCTCCTCCTATGCCTGGGCCCGGAAAATAGGCGTGGGCGAGGAATCCTCCCTCCCCATCGAAGGGTGAGCTGTCACCGTGAAAACCAGAAGCGAAGATGATAGTGATGTCTACGTCACGCCTGCCAGTCTCCAGGGCGCTGTACGGAACGGCCTCGAAGCGTAGGGGAGTCACACCCTGCCACACGTCAAACGCCCGCCGGATGGCATCGTGAGTCTCACGGGCGCCCACCTTCGGGGTAACATTTTTTATGCTGCGGGAAACCGAACAAGCATACCAAGTGAAAAGATTGCTGAAGAGGTGGTCGAGGAACTCGCTCTAAAAATACTCTGCAAAGTCCGAGTTTAGATAAAGACACAAATCGCATATAATTCCAAACTTCAGGGAGGAAAATAAAACACATCCTGCTTCATTGTCCTGTTAATTTGTCTGATCACCCTCCCCCCCACACACACACTTTTCAGAATGAGAAGAAGATCCTTAAAAAAAAGTTGCACTTGACAACTATTTCAAGCCCGGCAGCTTTTTACTGAACTTTTAACACAGCAGTCGTTATCAGTGTCTGGCAGGCAGAGAGGAATGGGAAATCTTCTCCTCGCTCCCCGTTCATTTTCACGAATAAAGTGCAGTCAGCAGCGGCAGCACTGGCTCAGCACTGATTGACATTCCATTAGGAGAGGTGGCTCATCAATTCAAATTCAGGCAAGAAGGGAGGATTTGAATAAATTGCCAGTGTTATCGTCTATTACTGCAGAAACCTGTCAATTTGCAGTTGTGCCAAAGACCCGTTTATCGGTTCTTCTCAGAACCTATTAAAAGCGTGGGCTTAATCGGGCCTGATAAGATGAGTGTTTAAATATTTCTGCTGAGATTATGGATAATTTACACTGTGAATTTTCAAACAATTTAATATCGGGGAGCGAAAAGCCCCCATTTCATAAAACAAAACGGCTCGTTTTGTTTTATGAAAATGATCGAGCAAAACAAAAAACAGGAGAAAAAAAAGCAAAACAAAACAGCCTGATCTTGTTTTGTTTTTTTGTTTTTTTGGTTTCGCCACCAAGTTATTTATAACTGTGGAGCAAACATACTCGCAGCACACATGGGTACATTTATGTGTTAATTTATGTGTTTCTGGATGTGTGATTATCACTGTATTTTTGTGCGCGAGCCCCCCACACACACGTGACGTACTTGCTCGGTCTCTATGACAACACGGAGCATGTGATCCCAGGTGGTTAAAGAGGAGGAGATGAGAGACAGAGGAGAGCTGAGGAAATTAACACTAGCAGATCTGAATCCGTAACCTCCCTATGACAACATGCCTCAGCCGTCTGTCACCTGTAGGTTATGTGTGTTCGCTGCCACTTCTGTCCCGTCAGAGCGTATCTCCGCCTCCGTGACCTTGACGTGCTTCTGAATTTGTCCGGAACACCGCAGCGTGGCTTTTGCATCCAGCTTAAAAAGTGAGAAGAGAAGAGAAGAGAAGGTGACTTAAGTTTGCTGACTAAAAAACTTTGGATCTCAGTTTTGCGTCACAAGACAACAGGAATCATTGAAGTGAACTCAGCAGTTCTCTTCCTGACAGGTGCCAGAGAATCACAGAACCAAAATAAGGAATGCAGAACAGCGCTAAACTACTCCAAACTACAGCCCTTCATGTTTCTCATTCATACCCACGTCACAACTACAAAACAAACACAATACATAGGTAAAACTTTAATTCTCACCTCAGGGTGATATCACTGCATCATCATGCAAAATGAGAAGAGGGAGAAGCGTTAAAACCTTCAACTGAGGTTGTGTGAGGCGAGGTGACGCGAGGTGAAACAAACATCTCTGTCTCTTTACTAATTCTTTGCAATACTGATAGTCCGTCCTTCTGCATTTTAAATGAACAAGTGGAGCATAATGCATTAACATGACATTAATGGCCTAGTGGAAGTGCATGTGCTGCTCAGCTGTTTGTGTTTGCGCAAGTACGTCCACCACACATGTATACACTCACTCCTTGGTTTTCTCATCCAGTGTCCCTGTGACATTGAGCCCGTAGACACGCTGCATGGCAGCAAGAGCTGAGTGCATGGTTTGGGCCGATCGCAGGACAGACATGCCTGGTTCTGTGCGGGGAAGGTAGCCATACCTCTGTAGCCATCCCTGCAAGGGGTGAAGAAGGAGAAAGATTTGAGCCATCATATTTTGTTTTGGTTTAAGACCAAAGCTCAGATCTGAGAGAGGAAAACAGGAAAGATTACACTACAGTGTTGCACATTTTGCAAGTTTGGGAATATTACAAAAGGCATATGATTCACCACACAACACACATATCCACCAAACTCTTGTAATGTATACAATACATTAAAAGTGGGAGTATAATAATAATATGAAAGTGCATCATTCATTGTGCATCTCACAAGAGACAGTGACTAACCTTTGGCTACAGTACTACTGAATATTAAATAAAATAACAGAATGAGCTGCAGCAGTGTTTTATTTAACATCACAGTATGCCTGAGAGTATCAAAAGCTAATTTTGAGAAAAACACACATATACAATAATTTATAGTCAGTTATTTAGTTAAATTGTCTATCAAGCACATTTTTTTGGGTTTAAAGGGTTGCTTGTGTGGACAGCACTGCTAAAACAAAAGCAGCTGAATCCCTGCTGCTGACCTTAGTCAGTGTTCGTGTCTTGCGGCTCTCGGTCAGTGTTCATGAGCAGGACTGTGGCCCTGCCTCCTCCTGCCCTAAAAAGCCAGAGTGTGATTTGATGCAAACAAGTGAGGTGAAGCTGAGAATCATTCAGGGGCACCGGCAGGTTCAGTCCTGAAAGTGAGCTTGGCACCCACACTATCCACAGCTGTCCACACACCAACCAGGTGCCTCCCTATCACCACACAGCCAATGAGATATGTTCCAGCTAGCTAATCTGACTAACTGTCTCCTCTGCCCATCCCTCCCTTCTGCCTCTGTCCCTTACTCAGCTTTGCTAAACGCCTTTTTTTATCCCTCTTATTTTTCCCGGTTTCTCCCGTGGTGTGTTTCCTGTATGAGTTGTGTTTGTTCAAAGGCACAGATTTCAGAGAGATATCAGGCAAGATTTCATTGAGCCATTAAATTGAATAATGGTGTGTGTGTGTTACTGTCAGCTTCAGCATTTAATTTCTTCCGAGTGGTGGGAGGGGAGCCTGTGGTGAGGATGGAAATGACATCAATTAATAAGGTAGAAAAAAGAAGCAAATCCTATTATGCAACTTGTGTCATTAGATGTTTTATCTCCTCCAACACTGTGATGCTGCCAGAGCACATCTCACTTCATGATGACCTGTCAAAAAAGTAGCTTCTCTAGCAATACAACAGACGCGCTGAGGCATTTTTGGGTTCATTGTACTTTAAATAGACGGATCTCAGTGCATTCATATGTGCACATTTTGGATCAGTGGGCTGGATCACCTCACTTCATGAACCACAATGTAATAACCTGAAATGAGCATCCTTCTGTTTCATTGCACCCAACAAATGAGGGTTTTTTTTTTCCAGTGCGTGAGCTGTCCTGACAGGCTTGGAATGTCTCCATGTTATGCTTTATCGCATGTGCCCACGGATAGCGTGGGTAACTCAACATACATGTTCTGTTCTGTTTTTGTTTTGTTTGTTTTTTTGTTTTTTCCACGCTGAGGCAGACGATGTGGAGGAGAGAGCACGGTCATTTATGATTCTCAGAGTCGGGGGGAGGTGGTGGTGGTAGGGGGTAGGAGGCCATTTATCTTACCTCAACGCTGAACTGATGATCCCCCTCTCCGGACACGGCACACGAAATCCAAAGCAAAAGATGCAAGCAGAATGCTGCCGCGTAAAAACAATCCGATGGTTTTCTTTTACTGGAGGATACTAAGGTCATAATGACCCGTTTTTCCCAAGTGTTTATTAGAAGAAGCCGCCCGTCTGCTTTGTGTCAAATGAAAACCATCGGGCGAGCTGTCAAGACAGATTCAGATGAAAAAAACGGACCCCGCGTTTTTCTTTCTTTCTTCTTAAATATAATCCCGATGGTGTGATGTTCCGATGTCAAGCAGAGATAACTCGGCGTGTCAGACCCGCTGCCCTCGCCATTCTTATTTACATCGGGGGCTACATCTATCCAGCAGCATCAATGGCCATGTACAGTATCCAGCCTGCGCAAGATAGGCTCCCTCCCGACTCGACGCCTGCGCTTTGATTTCTCACACAGCGCAGCGCTGCTTGGCAGCATCATAAGAGCTGCCCTACAGAGTGCATACGAGATAAAAACGCAATTTCTCAGCACTGCCTGCACATCTGACGTTTACATTGCAAAGGCGACGGCTCTGTGCAGTTTGAAGCGCACACGTAGCCGTATGTTTTGATCTTAAATGCCGAAAAACAAAGGCCGCAAAGCCAGATTTTAAACTGTGTGGCTTGCATTTTCGCTCTGATAAAGCAGGTAACTGCCTTTATGCGCTAGACAAACTGCTAAATAGTCCCGTGCCACGAATAACCATCAAATACAGTGTATCAGGACAGATGCTGATCAATTGCATGATCGTTTATCTTTAAATGTTGGTCCTGCACTTATCCCACTATGTGCCCTCAATCTTGAGGACCCAGAATAGAAGACCTGATCGACATTTTTAGCTCAAACGGCACCAAAAACCTGCCTGAAGCATAACGAGCCACCAGATGGCAGCATTTCGTTGAAGAAAGAGCCACTAGCTGCTTTTTTTTTTTTTGCCAGGACACTGAAGACAGGACAAACTGAGACAGGAATCCACCCCATATAAACTAATGAGGCGAGAAATTAATCCGACATTCATTTGATATGGCACACAGAAAGGCCCTAGGCCTGTGGGAAGGAGTGCAGTAGGAGCTCATGACAAAAATCAAATCAGACTTTAGAGTTTTTTAAAAATATTATTTTATTATTACCATCATTATTAATGTTTGCACACAGTTTGCACCCAGGAGGGAGGCAGGTGTGATTTATTTGCCAGCAGACATGAAAAATAATTCAGGGACTGAATAAAAAGATCGTATGGAGACATCAGGGAAAGCTGAGTGGCCTAGTTAACGTTTAAGCCTCCCAGCGTGTCCTATCCTGCGCTCTTCTGTCTGACCTATGGACAATTTCAAAAGGAATTCTTGTTTTTCAAAGTGTCTGAATCTGATGTTCAAGTGGAAAGAATGAGGCTACCTGCAGAGAAATGTGAGCTGATTAAATCTACGCTGCATTTCTGATCTGTCACTTGCACAATACAAGGTTGGATTAAATATCACCTGCATTGTGCATTGCTGCAGCCAGTCAATCACTCACGAATGACTCAAAGTTTCCTGTAGTCACGCACACTGAATGACAGATTTGAAGAAATATGATGGCATGGGCACGGAAGCGATCAGTGTCACCAGATTTAGGAAAGTAACCCTCTACCCAGCTGTGATGCTGAGAAATGAAAGCCTATTAAGGAGCACACACATAAGTGAAAATGTCATCTTAGATTCTAACCATTTATTATGACTATTATGCATATTTAGATGTTTATAAGAGTAAATGGTAAATGGCTTGTATTTGTATAGCGCTTTACTAGTCCCTAAGGACCCCAAAGCGCTTTACACAACCAGTCATCCACCCATTCACACACTGGTGATGGCAAGCTACATTGTAGCCACAGCCACCCTGGGGCGCACTGGCGAGGCTGCCGGACACTGGCGCCACCGGGCCCTCTGACCACCACCAGTAGGCAACGGGTAAAGCGTCTTGCCCAAGGACACAACGACCGAGACTGTCTAAGCCGGGGCTCGAACCGGCAACCTTCCGATTACAAGGCGAACTTGTAATTGGAAGGCTCAACTCTTGAGCCACTCTTGAGCCATGAGTAAGACTAAATATACTCAAAACATCAAAAATGAACATATTCTTAGTGAATCTGATCTTTTAATCATAAAAGACTCCATGTCAGACTGTCAGACTCCTGAACTCTGTCTCCTGACATCTGACCCACATTTAACTCATGGACTGAACACACACACACACACACACACACACACACAACCACCTATAACTGAACACACACACAATGGACAAAAACAAACATGGACTGAACCACCACTCACAACCACTTGCACTTTATATACCCACTATAGAAATTAGCCACATATCACTAATCTAAACTGCACTACTGTAAATGCTGTATAGACAATCATTCTGTACAAAACAATAATTATAGTTCTACAACTTTTTACAACTGTTTATAACTTATATAGTTAATATTTCATATTTCTGTATAGTTTTCATATTTGTATCCTGTTCATAGCCTGTACATACTTATAGTTATAGCATATTCATAACAAACCTTCATACCGTGTACATTGTAACATACCTATAATAGACCCTTTTTTGTAATATATCTATATTATTGCTAAAGCACTTTCTGGATGGATGCAAACTGCATTTCGTTGCCTTGTACTTGTGACATGTGCAATAACAATAAAGTTGAATTTTATTCTATTGTATTCTAACATATGTGTATTACTTTGTTGGTGTATGCGTTTACTACACACACTTATATATTTTGTAAAGTGCTACTACCAGTATGGCTTCTTCATCTTAGCTGCACACATCACAATACTAGAGCTACACAGCTAAATTACCTGTGAAGCCTGAGCACACACAACCTTCAGGAGATTATTGCCATTACTCATAACTGTGAACAAGCTGTTCCATGTTTTGAAACAGGATGTGACTGGTTGAGAAGTTGAGAAAGGGACGGTCATTGGTTTAAAACCGTTCATTCATTTACTTTGAGGTGTTTACTGTGTAACGCACTGAGATGTCATGGAGACCACATGCTCCGACAAGTTGAACGTGGCTCAGGGCCAAAGACCAGGGGCCTCATCAGGAGAGGTAAACCATAATGCAATAAGACGAGCATGCACGAGCACACGCGCGTGTGTTTGTTTGTGCGTGTGCACGTGAACTCGGTATTACAAAACAAACAATTCCTAAAATCAAATATTTGCCTTTTACTATTTTATTTACTAAGTTTAGCTTAAGGAGACTTGCCTTGAGGGGGGCCAGATGGTGCGATACAAGGTAATCTCACTGGCTTCTCTAATTAAACCTAATTAATTGGTGGCTGACAGTTTGCTGTGAATGCCTGGGGCTTTTCAACCATACCACTGCAGACAGGATTTATCATGCTATTATTAAAGCTTTTAGGGATTCACTCACATCTAATCTCAGCCTTGCAGTATCTCACATGTCATGAATATGGCAGCCATGACAGTCCAAACTAGAGCAGTGAGATTCACAGGAAGGAGTCAAAGAGTTAATGCTATACACTCAAAGCAGATTAATCTGCATTATGAAGATGCTGAAACAAAATTTGATGGTTCCGCTCATCATTTTCCAGGAGAAGCACCTAATGTACAATAATGCTTTCTACAAAAAGGTAATCGTGAGTTCTCAAATAAATGATCTACTTATTGTTGTGCCTTATATCTAATTTAGGGGGGGGAAAGGTGTCTCACATTTAAATGCAAAACAGTAGAGCTTTCCCAGGGTTTTATTCCAGCTTAATTAAAATGCATCCTTTTGTGAGGACAATGTAAAAACACAGTATCATTTCTGACAGCCCATTGTAAATTACTTTTTCCCCACTCAAACAATAGGCCAAAACATAGTTTGTTTTGTGTTAATCTATCACACGAGCAAAAGAAAGCATTAAACTTCCCGTCTGAGAAGCTGGAACCAGCTAAAGTTTGTAGAAGATCAAAAACTGCTGCTATGCTACTAAACTGCTTCATTTGTGTTGGTTATCTGCATCCTCCTTCTTTGGATCATAACTAGGGATGCTATGGCTCCGAGTGACAGCTGATCCTGTATGATCCCGTATTTTTTAATCCTCTTTTTTGCTTCTTCAGCGCAGTCTCAACCCTGCCATGTACAAGAAACAGCACAGCGACATAACAACAGCAGCAGCGGCAGTGGGGATTGTTATTTTGTTGCACTTGTTTTAAAACTATATATATTTTGGGATGTTGCCAGCCCACCTGGGCTTTGTCATGCTTATCAGATATAAGACCTTAGGGATAAAGGGGTAATCTCCATCAAAAACATGGTCACATACTGTACCAGTTCTGCCTCGTTGAACCACTTAATAAGAGTCCTTGTATAAACATTAGTCAAAGAAATGTTTTTAGAGGTTGAGGATTATTTATACTGCTCAACTTTTACTGCACTTCAAAGACCTCAAGCTGCGAATATGAGCTTGATTAATTAACTCGTACTGCTAATCTATAATCTTACTTGAGGAACAAATACCGCAACACGCAGCGCTTATTTAGCATGAGAGATGGAAAATGTGAGACTATTACAAGGTAGCACATGCAATTATTTTACCAGCCGTAGCTGTCATCTCTCATCCTCTGAACACGTCCGCCTCTCTCTTTCTTTATCTTACTCTGTTTTGATTTCCTGGTTCTGGCCATTATTCTTGTTTGTTCAGTGTTTCTGCTTTGTCAGCTCTCCAAGACACACAGAGCCTCAGAGCAGAATGTGGATGGCGACTGCAACGCCTTTCTTTCAGACTGTGAAACATTTCATAATTGAAATATTGGCCACTGGTGTAGAAATTGGTCTCTGGAAAGAAGCCGAGGTGATTTCTCTCCCCCTTTTTTTCCTCTCTGCCTCAACTGTGGCTGAGTGTGAGACAAACCTTATGATGCATGCTCAATCATCCAGGTAAGTAAATCTCCAAAAGTTGATTCTGTTCATCTGGACGTAGCGTTTTGTGGGAGAAACGTTTTGTCACTTCTTCAGTCTCAGCTGACTGCCAGTTTCCCCAATCATATAAACAGTACATTTGCATAATGACTGAAACCAGCACACTGAAGAACAATTGGCTGGGAGGTCAGTTCCTTAATCTTAATTATGCAAATTCTCATGACCATTGATCAACAACCATTGACCAAAACCCACTGATCAATGGCCATGAGTACCATTCACAGACAGTTGGGGAATGGCTGCAATCTCAGCATTGTAAGATGGCGAAAGATGTACCCTTAGGCCCCCTCCTCGATTCAGAGATGGTCTTTACCTTTTCACGTAAATTGCCTCCTTGACTCCGCACTCAAACCAGCGTTCCTCTGAATCTTTTAGTGAAATTTATTTCACTGAAAGTACAACAGGAATATTTTACCTCCCTGGTAAAATCGCTCGCTTTATGAAC